GGAAAAATATCTAGTCTGAGAATGTAAGATGCTTGAGTTCATGATTTTTAATATCCTTTCTCGAGATGACAAGTCCCAAGGATTATCTGTGGTAGTGTATTATTCTCAAGAATAACTAAACATCAAATATTAGTAAGCCAAAAACATAAAAACCCAGGGAGCTGAACTTGTTATGTAGAAAGATGTTGCTGTCTCCAAGAAATTAGGTTCATAGGAGGGCATATTTATACCCAGTGTCTCTTATAATCAATTATCACAAACCTAGTGGCTTTTATGCAAGATAAATTTATTTTCACTCCTCTAGAAATAAAAAATCCAAAGTAACTATCACTGGCTTAAAATCAAAGTGTTGATATAACATTACTTCATTCAGAACATCTTCAGGAGAATCTTGTCCTATACCCCTCTATTCTGGTATTTTCTCACGGGCTTTGGCTGTGGTGACATTGCCTCAGTTTCTATTTCTGTAGTCACAGTGCCTTCTCCTCTGCATTATCTTGCCCTTGTCAATCTATATCACATCTTTTTCTATATTGTTATTGAAAGAATATTTGTGATATTTGACCTACCTGAATAATTCAGGATAATTTTCCAATCTCAAGATTCTTGATCTTATTACATTTAAAAGCATTTTTTTTACTTTTTTAATTTATAATATTTTAATTGAAAAATAGATTTTGTTGGTGGTCTTCCCTCTCCTAGCTCCTCCCAGATCCTCCCCCTTCCCCATCTACTCAAACCCAAATTATTTATTTCTCTCTGCCATTAGGATACAAACAATTCTAAATACTGTAATGTTTACAAGTTCCAAATATTAGTACCTGATATGTTTGGCAATTATTCTGTTGATGTAGGAGGGACACAATAGTGTGAAACTACTCAAAGGATGAGGCACGTGAATAAGAAGGTAATAGATGAGGAAAATTAAGGAGACAGTCTCATTTGCTTTCTATTGCTGTGATAAACACCATCACCAAAAGGAAGTTGGGGAGGAAAGGGTTATGCCACTTTACATCTTGTAGTCTGTCATCCAGGGACATCATGGTAGGAACTTAAGGCAGAAATCTTGAGACGGGAGCTGATGCAGAGGCCATGGAAAAGTACTGCTTACTGGCTTGATCCTCATGTCTTGCTCAGCCTGCTTTCTCAGAATGCGCAGGGATGTTCATTGCTCACAGTTGGCTGGGTTTTCCCATATCAGTCATTAATCACATAAATACCCCTACAGGCCAGTTTGATAGAAGCAGTTTCTCAATTGAGGCTTCCTCTTCCCAGATAATCCTGTTTTGTGTCATGTTGACAAACACTAATGAGCACTGAGAGTGGGCGGGTGACATTGCTGGACAGTTTTTATCTTAGAAGGATGCTGTAGCAATTAAATGAGTGACCCCAAAGCCACCTAGCACCCTTCCTTTAACGAACACTGAAATTTAGAAAGAAAGTAAGTTGATGATTCATGTAATGAAGCAGAACACCTAGGTCTGAGTGTTTGTGTGGCCCAGAGTCAGATTCTTGTCATTTCATTTCTTGAAAAGCAAACATAGGAATATTGTAAAGTGAGACATAAAATGTGGTGCAGTTCACTGCTGTCTCCAGAAAAGAGGGATTGCTGCCTTGTAGAGAATTCATAATATAACACACACACATGATCCATCAGGAAAGGGGAGTTCTTCTTCATCCAATATTCTTTACACACCTCCACAAGCAGAGTGAAGCATCAATTCCTTAGCCACTGTTGCAACTAGTTGGCAATGATGTGACCCCATCTAGCCAAGTACAAGAAGTCTTTTGGGAGGATTTCTGAAGTATATTTTGCTTTATTTGTGAAGACCCATGTGCAGAAGCACATAAGCACATACTCCCTTGTTTTGCCTTAAACAAGGCTACAATGTTGGAACTGCCTGGTCATTTTGCACATGAATAAACCACATTTTGTGCATAGAGAAGCAACAAGATGAAAGGATACTGGATCCGTAATGATGCTATTTTGCATCTAAACTAATTGAAGTAACAGCCTAACTCAAGGTTTCTTGTTATCTGAAAGAACAGAAAATAAACCCAGTTGTAAAGCCTGGTTCTTTGATCTGGAAGCATTCATGACTTCTGAGGGTGCTTTTATGTTTGTGAGAGAGGAGGTACTAAGATACCAGTCGGAAGCTCATTTTCTTTAAGTGCCTTCCTGAGGCTACTATAGCCATACACATATAAACAAACTCCACCTTGATTTCTAAGAGCTGGCTGCTGGGACAGAGAGAAGATATGTCTCAGTTTATACCTTTCTTCTATCTTTTGGTACTCTCTTTCCCCTTTGTACCATTTTTCCAATCAGACATTTTCTTCATTTATTCTAATTACTATCTGCTATTGTTTGATTATATCCTTTAAAACTCTTGTGATGGGAACACTGGGGAGACGACTTAGAGATTTAGAGCACTTGGTGCTCTTGTAGTATACCCGGCTTTGATTTGCAGCACCCACAAGCATCCATAACTCCAGTCCTAGAAGATCTGACATCCTCTTCTTACCTCTTCAGGCACCAGGCACACATATGGTACCCATAAATACACACAGGCAAAATACTCATGTAAGAAATAAGAATACAAATGCTGATGTGTTAGAAACTTAATGCTCAGTCCATCATATCTAGAAGCAGAAGGGAGATGCTTAGATCATCAGGACTCACTCTGCCCTCCTCATTAATGGAACTGTCTTCATCATTGTTCTAACAGTGGGTTTGCTATCACAGCAATTTAGAGGCCCTCATATTCTCTCAAAACCTTATGCCCTTCCTTCTTTGCCATCTGAGTAAAATGAAACACAATGGAACTCCTTATTAGGTGTCCTATATTAACTCATTATGATAGCTGTATACCAGAAGGTCTAGCACAGAACAGGTACTCGATAAATGCAAGTATTGCCAGCCTACAGTCTCCCTTGGTGGGTTTTCATGTCATTGACAAGAGATTGTGCTTTTAAAATATTTGATTTTTAATAATAATAATATGTGTGTGCAGAGATATGTGCACGTGGGATTGCAGGTGCTTACAGAGGACAGGAGAGGGTGTCAGATGGGCCTTGAACTGGAGTTCTAAGAAGTTGGGAACTGCCCGATGTGGGTTTGGAGAACTGCACTCAGGTCCTCTACAAAAACTATACTTGTACTTACTGCTCAACTCTCTCTCCAGCCCCTGAGAAAAGAAATTTAAAACAGACTTAGAAGGAGGCTTGAGGTTCATTTTTTTAGAATGAGAGGGAAACACCAGTAAGGGAAAATGGAGGAGAGAGAGAAAGATCTACCTTTGAGTTAGTCAGCAATGGTAGGCTAAAAAGAGCTAAAGAAATAGAGATGGAGTTTTTCATGAAAATAGTGCCCAGAATGTCGGGGGAAACATTTTTAGGACTTTGACTGGTATTCCAGACGAGATAAGGAATGAGAAAAGATCATTCTTTCAGGCCTAGAACTCTGAAAAGTGGGAGGATTCAGCAGTTAAGATTTACAAACAGCAGATCTGGGGTCCAGAGAGGTCCTGATGTGTACAAGTACATTGTCTCAGCAATGGGATATTGGGATTCAACTGGAAATCAATGAGATTCTCCTTTCTTTAGCATGTTTTTATTTCAATTATATTTCCTGAGGGGTGATCTCCTGACAAGGTGACTGATAGGTCCAGTTGGATTAACTCTTAAGAACTGTGATGATATTATATATTTCAAGCATGTTGAAGGTCATGTTTCCATCCAGGGTCAAAAGTAGAACTCAGATTTTGATCTTTTGACCAAGATAAATCAATTTTCTTTTAATGGACCAATAAACAAAGTCCTGTTTATGCAATGTTTTAAATCATAAAGATACAGAAATTGTGATGCTTTTCTTTCTAATGTTACCAGGGAAACAGGAGGTAGAGTCCAAAGTTGACTATGATGGAAGGATTCATCCTCAGTGACCTTCAAGCTTTCTTATATCTGACAACCTACCTAATACATGCTGAATTAATATATGAAAAAAATGTCAATCATTTTGGAGAACTTGTTCCTGAGTTTAAAATTCTTGTCTTATGATTCTCTATTGGGCTAAGAATGAAAAGTTCTAGATTCCAGTTCTATCTATCCCATCTATTGTCTTCAAAATATTTTATTTTTGACATGAGTTAACTGTTAATAGCATTCACTGTGGTTTTATCACATACACACTGCACATAAACCAATGCAGATTCATAAGACTTTACAAAAGAAATAATCATTACATATAACTATTCAACTGCTTTATAACCTGGCCTGGACTTAAACTCTGAATGCATGCTCAAGAAAATATAGTCATCTTTTTTGTATCTGAGAAAATGCTAGTCTGGTTGAATCTGCCAAAACTTAGTGTCATAAATATGAAATGCAAACGATATGAAGGGTGTTGAATGCTTCCAGGTTTTCTTTCTGGGCACTGAAGACAAGGTAAAGAGATCAGTAACCTAAAGGAGTGGCAAATCTATAAAATATTAAAATGGGAATGAACCAATCTTCTATAGCAGTGTTTGACAAATCTGGCAGTATTCTACAACAAATAAAGACACTTTAGACATAATGTCTTCCAGGCCACCTCTCAAGCCAAAAGCATTCAAATTTGTGGAGATGAGACTTGGCCACCAGTATTTCCAAGCTATTCCAGTGTCTAGACAATTTAAAGAACACATGTTCCGAACCTGTACTGCCCATTCTACCATCAATTGATAAAACGCTTTTTTAAAAAGCAGATTTTGATCCAGTAAACCAGATCCTGATATTTAGTATTCCCAAGAATTTCCTAAGTGCTGCTTCTGGAACAAGGACTATGTTTGCAATTTCAAGTTTCCAAAGGGCAGATAAATATATTTTTGTCAAATAGTTTTTAAAAGGGAATATGAAAGTGGCATGTACTTAATACATATGTGGCAAGAATCATGCTAGGAACTTCACCTTTATTATCTCATAAAAACAACTATTTTTTAATGTGCCTTTTTTCTTACCAGGAAGCTGAAAAATGAACTTTTAGAGGCAAAACGTAGAAGTGGGAAGACTCAACAAGAGACCAGTAGAGTCTGTGTTCACTGTCAGAAAAACCTTGGCTTCATCTTTGACAGGGGAGATCCATGCCAAGTCTGCTCCCTCAGGGTGTGCACTGGATGTCGAGTCGTGGGTCCTGATGGCAGCTGGAAGTGCACTGTCTGTGCTAAAGTCGCGTGAGTTTCCTGCCTTTCTGTGCAAAATCCATATGTGATGATTGACAGGATTAGAATGGGGTAGTAAGAAACGAGAAAAAGGATTTTAAATTGAGAGTAGATTTAAAAGCACAATCTAGTCATAGGCTTGACTTGTATGTGTGTGTGAGAGAGAGAGACAGAGACAGAGACACAGAGAGACAGACACAGAAAGGAATATAGAGACAGACATAGAGACAGAGATAAGGGAGTGTTCAGTGGGAGAGAAACAGGTAAAAGCAGATATAAAAGTAGGGAACAGCATTTTAAAAACTCTGAAGCATAATAAAATTGGAGGCCTAATAGAATCAATGTCTAAAAATGTTTGTATTTGAAAGACAGCAAGATATTTTCTTTTCTATAAACCCTTCAAGACTCCACGTGGCTTCTTCAAGAGGCAGAGACAGAATTCTTTTGACATTCGTCAACATTTGAGATAACTGGCAAGATGACTGTGTGCTGTATGTATCAGCTGAGGTGGAACAGTTCCTTAATGTTCACCAGGCCTAGTTGTTCATCAAAAAGGGTAAATTATGCTTCTGTTTAGCTTCTGTCTAGCTCAGTGGTTCTCAACCTTCCTAATACTGCAACGCTTGAATACAGTTCATCATGTTGTGATGATCCCCAACCATAAAATTATTTTCAGTACTACTTCATAATTGTAATTTTACTACTGTTATGAATCGTAATGTAAATACTTGTGTTTTCTGATGGTCTTAGGTGACCCCTATGAAAGGGTCATTTGACTGCAAGGGGGTTGTGACCCACATATTGAGTATCACTGCACTTGGATTTAGATATGAAGGCTCTATGTAGGTATCACCTTGAGATCTCCATGTGCAATGGGTTGTGGGGCCTTGCTGTTAGTTTTTGGAGAGCAATTTACTACCTCAGCAATAGCCTGGATTGTTTGAGGATTTCCATGGAACCCCTTTGACCAGTGGGTCTCAACTTTTGGGTGGGTCACAACCCTTTTGGAGGTCATATATCATATATCTTGCATATCAGATAATTATATTATAATTCATAACAGTAACAAAATAATTTTATGGTTGGGGTTAACACAACATAAGGGGCTGTTTTGTGATGTTGTCACAACATCAGGAAGATTGAGAACAAACCACTGCCTTTGGCCAACAATTTGACTGGGTGTAACCCAGTATTAGTACTGAAAGCTTCATTTGGTGACAGGAAATGGCCAGTTGAGACTCTATCTCCATCTTAGTTTCTATTGCTGAAATGAAACACCATGACAAAAACAATCTGGGAAGGAAAGGGTTTATTGTACTTAAATTTCTACATTTCAGTCCATCGCTGAAGGGAACCAGTACAAGAACTCAAATAGGGCAGAACCCTGAAGGCAAAAGCAGATACTGAAGCCATAGTGAGGTGCTGCTTACTAGCTTGCTCCCCATGGCTTGTTCAATCTGTTTACTTATAGAATTCAGGACTACCAAGCTCAGGAATGGCATCACCAAAAAGGGCTGGACCCTCCCCTATCAATCACTAATTATGAAAATGCTTTATAGGATTGCCTTCAGCTAGGCCTTATGGAGGCAATTTTTCAGTTGAGGCTTCCTACTCTCAGATAATTTAAGCTTGTGTTGAGGTATGTAATGAATTATGTTGGAATTTTGGTGGGGATTACATTAAATGTGGAGATTGATTTTAGTATGATGATCATATTTACTATGTTGTATCTACCAATTAATGGGCATGGAAGATCTTTCCATCTTCTGATATCTTCTTCGAGTTCTTTCTTCAAAGACTTGAAGTTTTTATCATACAAACCTTTCACTTGCTTGGTTAGAGTCACCTTAAGATATTTTATAGTTTTGAGGATATTGTGCTAGATGTTGTTTTACTGATTTCTTTCTCAGTCCTTTTGTCATTTGTATATAAGGAATGCCACTGATTTGTGTTAGTTAATTTTGTATCCAGCTACTTTGATGAGTGTTTATCAGCTGTAGGAGATCCCCAGTTGAAATTTTAGGGTCACTTCAGTATACTATCTTATCATTTGCACATCCAGATATTTTGACTTCTCTTTCCAATTTGTATTCACTTGATCTCCTTTAATTGTTTTATTGCTCTAGCTAAGACTTCAAGTGCTATATTTACTAGGTATGGGAGAGTGGACAACCTTGCCTTATTCCTGATTTTAGTGAAATTGCTTACACAAATCTCCCAGGATTGATGAAAATTTTTTCAACAACTATTTCTCCAATTCTTATCCAATATTTTCTGAGTTGATTCTTAGTATGTATTCTTCCCCCATTTATCCTATTTCTATTCATTCTTTTATATAGCCCAGACCCTCATTTGTTCTGACAAAAGGACCTAAGGCCTAAGACTCAGAAGCCCTTAAACTGTTAAATGGAATCTCAGACTTCAATATAAGAAGACAAATTTTTACTTTACTGTAAATTATTAATTACTAAATCATAAGGCCTTATTATGTTTTAGTAATAAGGTAATTTGCTAAATAATATGGGAAGTAAATAAAGGTCTAATTCACTGTATCTTCCTCTGAAAGGCAGGAGTCAGATTCTCTTTAGAGTGTATTAACAGGAAATTAACTCTTAATATGTTGAGTTGAATTTGGAGATTGTCATAGAAACTGGCCTACCCAAAATAAAATAATCTTTCCCTTGGCTTCTCACTTAGATCACGTGTGCTACATATTTCACTTGTTTATTGTTTTCCTCATCTCTCTTCCTCTACTATAATATAAGCTTCATGACCATAGAGACAAGAGATTTAAAAAAAACATCCATATGATGTTCTTATACCTAAAGGAATGCCTAAATCAGGTGCTCCATGTGTATTTGTTAACTGAGTAGATGGATGGATGAGCAAGATAATGAAATGATAAATGGATGAATGAATGTCTCCTACTTAAAGCACATCAGCGTGGAGTAAAAGGAAGAAAATGGAACAAATACAATTTTATTCTATTGGGAACATGATGATGGGGGGACAAGAGCATGACAAATACATTTGCATGTTAAACAAAGTAAATATATACTTGTCATTGAAAAACACAAGTTGTGGTTAGTAGATGCAAGCATTAAATATTAAGATGTTGAACCAGCTGCTTTTCTTAGGAAGTATTAATATAAAACTTATCAATCAATTGCCTTCTTTTTGGGTGAAACATTAACTTAATCAAAACAACCATTTATTTGCCTAATTGATCTATTATCCACACATCTGTGCATCCCTTCTATACATTTGTTGTTAGTCTATTGGTATAAAGTTGGCTAAGATACAAGGATAGGGAAGCATCAAATACCTTCATTAATTTGTAGTCTAATGTAAAAAATAAAGTTATTATGTTATTTTTTTTGCTTATTCAAGAAATTCTTTGTCATTCTGAACATTCTAAAGAGAAAATAGCTTTCAATGTGTGTCTTATACTTTTCCAGAAACAATTTGTCTATAGTTATGTTTTTCCTGCAATAAATAGAAATTTATGAGTATTTAATATATGAATGTCCATGCTTCCTTCTCCAGCTGAAGAATTTATTAGTAATACTTTTCTAATATTTAAGCTACTTGTTTGTGTGCCCTCTGAGACTAAAGCTTTCTGTATTGGAAATATCCTGTTTGCTATTCATGGAGTGGTTTTCAATAAGGAAGAACAAATGATATTTTATTGGTAACGAATGCCCTTTGTTTGTTATAAGAGAATATTACAGCCCTACTCGTCTGTCTCCATGTTTAATAGACCATGAAATTGAAATTCCCACCCTAACCTCTAAGAGATGAGATGAGTCAAAAAGTGACTCATTCTCTTATCAGCTGGCAGAACAACCTTTATTTTCATTTACCTTGGACAGGGCTTTTTTTCTGAAGCATTGAAATTATAGCAAGCTTTGGTAGAGGGAGGTTACTCCATTTGTAGTTAATCCACTTTTGATTTTGTTGCCCTTTAACTACATAGTTAGCAGTTTTACTATCATATGCTCAGGGATTTCTTTGAAAATTTTTTTTTCTGCTTGGAAAAAAGGAACCTAGACTAACCACCCTTGCTATAGGGACAAAGTGATTGTGTTTCTCTTCCTTTGTTATTTCAACCCTAACAGTAGGAATTCAATAAATATGTGCTGCGTTGTGAATAAATTTATAAGTAATAAGTTTAACTAGCTTCCTTGTGATTAACAGATAGAAACTAATACCTTACAAAGCATATTTTATAACAGGTGTCTCCAGTAGTTAATGATAGATAAGCAAACAAAATACTCTGGTTGCTATGTATTTTTAAAACAAGATTACCTATTTGCCCTGTGAATCCAAAGAGAACAGAACTTCTTCACATTGTGTAAATTTACAAGAAAAGGAAACATAAGTCCCAGTAGATTAATGTTAATAAAACCAAAAACTGACACTCTGTGATAGCCAGCAACTGGTGTTCACAGATAGTTAAGTATAGTGTGTTGTAATTTCAGTCAAAACTCGTTCTTCAGAGTTCAACATAGAGGGAATCTTACAGTGAGTATGGCATTTATTTTTTATCCTCTTTCACCATTTCCTTATTCTTGCTACTTGGCCCCTTGGGGGCACACTTGGGGAAGTGCACACACATGCATTTGAAATGCTAAGCATTGTTTATTATTGTTTTTTGCTTCCATACATCTTCGACCCTCATCAAAGCCTTTTTGAAACTAACAAACATGAATTCTCTTCTGATGATATTGCCCAATGGAAAGAGTATGAGACTTGGAGTATGAATGCTATATTACCATCATGCCTCTGTGACTTTGAGGAAATTGCTTAACCCATGTGAGTTTTCCAGTCTATAAAGTGAGATCTGTCATTGCTAGTTTATATCTCATAGTGAAGATTGGAGATATTACATGTAAAGTGCCTAGCACATTACTTGGTACCTCATAGGTACTCAGTATTAGTTTCTTTTTTTATTTATTTATTAAAAATTTCCACCTCCTCCCCACCTTCCTTTTCCCTCCTCCTCCCCACCTCACCCTCCCTCTCTAGTCCTAAGAGCAGTCAGGGTTCCCTGCCCCGTGGGAAGTTCAAGGTCCTCCCCCCTCCATCCAGCCATCCAGGTCTTGGAAGGTGAGCATCCAAAAAAAAAAAAACAGGCTCCCACAAAGTCAGTCCATGCAGTAGAATCAAAACCCAGTGCCTTTGTCCTTGGCTTCTCAGTCAGCCTTCATTGCCAGCTACATTCAGAGTGTCCAGTTTGATCACATGCTCCATCACTCCCAGTCCAGCTGGCCTTAGTGAGCTCCCATTAGATCAGCCCCACTGTCTCAGTGAGTGGACGCACCCTCGTGGTCCTGACTTCCTTGCTCATGTTCTCCCTCCTTCTGCTCTTCATTTGGACTTTGGGAGCTCAGACCAGTGCTCCAATGTGGGTTTCTGTCTCTATCTCCATCCATTGCCAGATGAAGGTTCTATGGTGATATGCAAGATATTCATCAGTGTGGCTATGGGACAAGGCCAGTTCAGGCACCCTCTCCTCTGCTGCCCAAGGAACAATCTGGTTACCTCTCCTTGGACCTGGAAACCCCTCTAGAATCAAGTCTCTTTCAAACCCTAAAATGGCTCCCTTAATTAAGATATTAACTTCCCTGCTCCCATATCCACCGTTCCTCCATCCCACCCATCCCATTTCCCCAAGATTTCCTGAATCCTTCCTCCCCTCCTCCCTTCTCTCTACCCATCTTCCCTTACATCCACCCCCCACACCCCCATGTACCCAAGTTTTGCCTGGCAATTTTGTCTACTTCCAATATCCAGGAGGATAACTATATGCTTTTCTTTAGGTTCACCTTCTTATTTAGCTTCTCTAGGATCACAAATTATAGGCTCAATGTCCTTTAATTATGGCTAGAATCCACTTATGAGTGAGTACATACCATATTCCTCTTTTTGGGTCTGGGTTGCTTCACTCAGTAAAGCGTTTTCTATTTCCATCCATTTGCATGCAAAATTCAAGATGTCATTGTTTTTACTGCTGAGTAAAACTCCAATGTGTATATGTTCCACACCTTCTTTAACCGTTCTTCTATTGAAGGGCACCTAGGTTGCTTCCAGGTTCTGGCTATTACAAAACAGCTTGGTATTGGCATAAAAACAGAGTAATCGACCTATGGAATCGAATAGAAGACCTGGATATTAACCCAAAAACCTATGAACACCTGATTTTCGACAGGGGAGCTAAAAGTATACAATGGAAGAAAGAAAGCATCTTTAACAAATGGTGCTGGCATAACTGGATGTCAACCTGTAGAAGAATGCAAGTAGATCCATATCTATCACCATGCACAAAACTCAAGTCCAAATGAATTAAAGACCTCAATATTAATCTGACCACATTGAACCTGATAGAAGAGAAAGTGGGAAGTAGTCTACAAGACATGGGCGCAGGAGACCACGTCCTAGGTAGAATCCTAGTAGCACAGACAATAAGAGCAACAATGAATAAATGGGACATCCTGAAACTGATAAGCTTCTGTAAAGCAGAGGACACTGACATTAAGACAAAAAGGCTACCTTCTGACAGGGAGAAGATCTTCACCAACCCCTCATCAGACAAAGGTCTGATCTCCAAAATATACAAAGAACTCAAGAAACTAGACACTAAAACTCTAATTAACCCAACTAAAAAATGGGGTACTGAACTGAACAGAGAATTCTCAATAGAAGAAGTTTGAATGGCCAAAAGACACTTAAGGTCATGCTCAACCTCCTTAGCGATCAGGGAAATGCAAATCAAAACAACTTTGAGATACCATCTTACACCTGTCAGAATAACTAAAATCAGAAACACCAATGATAGCCTATGCTGGAGAGGATGTGGAGTAAGGGGAACATTCATCCATTGTTGGTGAGAATGCAAACCTGTGCAGCCACTTTGGAAATCAGTGTGGCAGTTTCTCAGGAAACTGGGAGTCAACCTACCTCAGGACCCAGCAATTCCACTCTTGGGAATATATCCAAGAGATGCCCTATAATACTACAAAAGCATTTGTTCAACTATGTTCATATTATTAGTTTCTTATTCTATTAACTTTCTGTCTATATCCAGAACCTGTGATGGGAACAAAGGTATTTTCTCTGATACTTCAGAGTTTTAAAAATGATAAATTACCCAAGTTCATATGAAATCCATTTTAGATTCTTCTGTTGAGAGTTCTCTGTTTAGGTCTGTACTCCATTTTTTATTGGATTATTTGTTCTTTTGATGTCGAGTTTCTTGAGTTCTTTGTATATTTTGGAGATCAGCCCTCTGTCTGATATGGGATTGGTGAAGATCTTTTCCCATTTTGTAGGCTGCCATCCTGTCTTTTTGACCATGTCCTTTACTTTACAGAAGCATTTTAACCATGTTAATTCTGCCAACCTAAGAGCTTGGCAGATCTTTTCATTTTCTAGCATCTTCTTGAATTTCTTTCTTCAAAGTTTTAAAGTTCTTGTCATACAAGTCTTTCACTTGTTTGCTTAGCATTACTCCAAGATATTTTATATTATTTGTGGTTATTATAAAGGGTAATATTTCTCTGATTTCTTTCTTGGATCATTTATCATCTGTATGAAAGAGGACTACTGATTTTTTTAGTTAGTCTTGTATCCTGCTACATTAATGAAGATGTTTATGAGTTGCAGGCATGGTAGAATTTCTGGGGTCACTTAAGTATATTATCATGTTGTCTGGAAACATTGAGAGTCTGACTTCTTCTTTTCTGATTTTATTCCCTTGATCTCCTTTTGTTGTCTTATTGCTCTAGCTACAACTTCAAGTACTATATTGAATAGATACGGAGATAGTGGACTACCTTGTCTTGTTCCTGATTTCAGTGGGATTGCTTTGAATTTCTCTCCATTTAGTTTGATGTTGGCTATTGGCTTACTGTATATTGCCTTTCTTATGTTTAGGTATGCTTCTTGTATCCCTCCTTTCTCCACGACTTTTATCATGAAGGGATGTTGAATTTTGTCAAAGGCATTTTCAACATCTAATGAGATGATCATGTGGGTTATTTTTTTCTTTCAGTTTGTTTATATGGTGGATTACATTGACAGATTTTCATATGTTGAACCATCCCTGCATCTCTGGGATGAAGCTTACTTAGTGTGGTAGATGATTTTTTGATGTGTTCTTGTATTCGGTTTGCCAATATTTTATTTAGTATTTTTGCATTAGTGTTCATGAGTGAGATTGGTCTATAATTCTCTTTCTTAGCAGTGTCTATGTGTGGTTTGTGTATCTGGGTAATCAGTTGCTTTCCTTCAGTCACAATACTAGACTTACCAATTCTTACAACATTTATTCTCATGATACCTTGGTTTATATTTTGTCAGTTCTTGTTTTGTCAACTAAAGTAATTTCCTAATTAATTTGCTAGTCTCTCATTTCTCGATGTATTTCTCCAAGTATTATATAACAAAGTATGAACTTTACTGTAAGTTCCTTATTGCCTCCAAAATGACATTCTAGCTTCTTAGCCTGGCATTCAAAGGCTATTACATTGCCCAGGCCTACATCCCAATCTCATTTTCTACTATAATCCTCTAGAAATCATTTATCCAAGAGTACAGGTCTATTTTCAATTCTGAGCTCATGCCCTTATAAGCTATTTTTTCTTGTTTAGTTAGAAACAATTTTAGACTACCTAATGACTTCTATGATTCTATGTCTTTGTTGTAAGCTTCAAACTGAGCTTTACAGCACAGAGCTGCTATAGGTTGAATTCTAGGACTCTGGATTCATTTCACAAATGTTTAGAAACTACAGTGCTAAATATTACTGCTAAAGGTGATAACCAAAAGAGTCAAGACTCCTGTCTTCATGTCAATGTTGAGAATGATGTTTGTGATGAAGATATGAAAAGAAGTTAAAGTCTTAAAATGATGGAGCAGTGGTCACTTATTCAAGATAAAATTATAACCTGAAGAAGTATAGATCAGTACTGTTTATGTGAAATTTTTGAACAACAAAAATACCACAATAAATTTCATCATCTGTGTAACAAATGTATGTTAGCATTTATGATAAAAAAGAAGAAACTATGGTTTGAGAGACAGTCTATAAAATGCCTATTATTATAGTACTATGAGGGAGGAGTAGAGTTACATAGAAACTGTCTCTCAGAGAGTTAATAGATCAATAGGCATGACTACAATTATAAGAAAAAGTCTAAAGCTCTAAAGGTCATAGAAAGAGTGAAGGCATACAAGAAGACCACAGACATTCCTAGAGGGAAGATAGCAGGTGATTTCACAAAGCCTTTATAGGTAGGACTCAAACGATGGATAGGACCTGTCCTAGTTTCATTTTTTGTTTCTGTGATAAAACATTGACCAAAAACAACTTTAAGAAAAAATAATTTAAATAATTTAATTTTAGTACCTTCCTTTTTCTTCATGAGCAGGCAGCTAAGGTTTATAAGCGGCGAATGGTTTTATGAAGAAAAGGCAAAGCGTTTCAAGCAAGTCAATGTTCTGGGCACTGATGTTGTCCGACAGTCCATCCTAAGAAGAAGCCCAGGTAACTAATGCAATTATTTGTCTCCAAGACTTTGGTTGAATTAAATTTGTTGGGGTTAAATAACTTCCCTATGGTAATGTAGCAGGTGAACACAGTTGATTTTTCCCCCCCAATCCCGTAGGTCATTTCACTTGGTAGCTTGAAATCTAAATCTGAAAATCATCCAAATGAAGTCAGTAGAAAAACAAACTTCATACTGATTTTCCACATATCTGACATGCTGAGAGTTTCAAAGGAGTCATTTATCCTCATCACAGCCAGTTATTTCTCCTGATGCATTTCTGATGTTTTACTAAACGTTTAAGAAAGCAGCCTAAAACAGGTTAAACAAATGATTCCCATTTTGAAAGCAATTCTTGATTTTTCACCAAATTTAATTTCAGATTTTCTTTTTAATAGTATTTTTTAAATTTAATTCTTGGTTCCCAACCAAGCACTGATATTGTACCCTAAAGTCCCACTCTGACAAGTGGGAGCACCGAGAAATGCCAAGGAGCATTTTTGGTTGTCATAATGCTTAGATTGAGTCAATGGCATTTGTTGAATAGGAACCAAGTATGATAAGTTAGGAGGCTTAAAGTATGCAGGAAAGTTTTAATTCATGAATAATTAGTTATACTGGCCCCAAATATGAAGAACAACCAGCTCGAGACTGCTTTCCAGTATACTTAAACTACAATCTAACTGGTTCAGTATTGAATAGTGGTCTTGAGTGCAAATTTCTCATGCATGGTTTATATAATAAAGGTGGAATGGGTATCTTTTGATCTGTAAATCTTGAAACTTATTCCTGTGTCACTTTGGGGTGTGGCATTCAAAAAGAAGGTCTCCTAAATGTGAATGACACCACATCTGATGTTATAAGAGTCAGGTTGAATAAAAATTATCCAGTCAGCTACAGCCTCTTCGTACACTAAACCTCAGTGTCTTCCAATGTATGGACTACATTTCCAGGCATAAGATTTCCTGTCATCCCAGGAAATCTGGCCTCTCATTTCCAAGATGTCTGGCTGTGTTTGGGGGCACACTTGTGCTCACTACGGCTGGGAGACTGAGGCACAACGGTTATGTATGTAAAAGCAGTCTGGGGTACATATTGAATTCCAGACCAGCTTTAGGAATATAGAGAGAACTTGTCTCAAAACAAAACAACATCCATAAAAATTAGTACCTATAATCGATGGACATAGAGATCTCATAAACTCAGCATTTCATACCCTAAAGATATCTGTAGAGGCATAATGAATTTGTCCCTTTATCGTAGTCTTCCTAGAAAAGCTTAATGTGTCAAACCTTGCCCTGATGAGTCCTGGTCTTAATTCATAGTTATCTCTACAGCATTCAACATATTAGAGATGCCTATGCAAATAACTTGGAATTGAACTGTCATTACCGATGAGTATAGGCTTTTTTTTTGTCTTGTGGCAATATAGGAAAATGAGTGCAGAAGAGAAATTTGTTATCCTTTCTGCTTTTGTATTATTTTCTATTTTTCCACAAGGATCTGAAGAAATACAAAGCCAAGAGCAAGCCCACCAAGATGTAGACAAGTCAGATACTTCATCTTCAATCAGACAGAAGGCCACTCATGATGGATCCAAGAGGAAGGGGTAAGCAGAGTTCCTCCCCTATAAAATCTTTAGTATTTCATAACTGATGTGACTTCAGTGACTCAGAGGAGGTGAGAGACTTACCTGGGGTAACATTTCATCCTAGAGAAATGCAGTCTTAAGTACTTTTGCCCTCAGATAAAAAAAATTCCCTGGCTGGAACTAATCAGTGGTGGGCCATGCCTTTAATCCCAGCACTCTGGAAGCATTGGATTTCTGTGAGTTTGAGGTCCATCTGGTCTACAGAATTAATTCCAATAAAGTCAAGGCTGCTACAAAGTAAAATCCTGTCACAAAAATCAAAACTAAACAAAATTCCTGGATGACCTGAACATGTAAGAGTTCTTATTTCATCTGCCTTATTTATTCTTGTGCAAAATGGTTCCTATTATTTCCAGGCAGATCTATGGTCAAAGTCAGTCTTGACTATAAGCAACTGTTTAGAGTCTTTGTGTTCAAATTCTAGTATCCCTCTCTTCCAACCTAACCCTGGTATATAAAACAACCCAATAAAAGCATGGATACTTGAATATATTTAAAATGTAGGCTTCCTTAAGGAAAAAATAAGTCACATTTGACTGCTTCAACTTAGCACATTGAGTATTGCAATGAGCAATGGGAAATATATCGGAGAACAAGATGCAGGAAGGCACTGGGAACTGGCAGTAAGGTGCCACAGAAAATGAGAGTTCCCCAAAATGAGGACTGCATAGCAAGGGTTCTAAGATGTGCCAAGTCTCATGGTGCCCCTCTCTAGGTAGCACTGCATTGTTGTCTCAGCAGAAGCCAACATGAAATGCTGATATTGACTGAGACTGTAGCTAGCTCTCAAAGAAATGTGGACTTCTCACATTTGTTCAGTGTTCTGAACTATGAGTGGGAATGAAATAAAAATGTAATTTAACTCAGCCTCTCTTCACTAACCCCCTTGTTTATTAATTAGCAGAGACAAATGCAAAAGATTTTCTTGAATTTCTTAAACTCCTTTCCTAGACATTTGATCCTCCCTATCCTATTGCATTCATTTATTCATCAGGATACCCACAATGCCTTGTGCCTGTGTCATCTTTCTCTCTCACCCTTGCCCTATATACACACACCTAATGGTATGTTGTAGCACTGCTCAGGTGGCTTCTTTACTTTTGTGTTAGGTATCTAGCATAGTGCCTAACCTTGAAAGGAACAAATGGATTGACTGCCTAAGGATCTCAGAGCCTAAAGATGCTGTTAAGAGCAGTAGTTTGCAGATTTTAGTTCAGGCATCCCAATTAGGTCACACAACTAAGGAAGTCAGGAGCCGGAAAACACTAACTGACAAACATGAGTCATACAGATCCTGACTCATTCAAACTACCATAGCTCCAGGCTGAGGCCTGCTGTCACTCAAAACCTGCAACTGTGGTTCTGTCTTTAAGGACTGCAACATCCAGTTAGAGAGGAAAGCTTAACACCTAAAAGAGTCGCTAGGTTGGAAAGGCTTGTACGAAAATATAAAGTGGCAATGCAAGCTATCAAGGTCAGAAATACAGCAGTGTGGTAATAAGTCACAAGATATGGCACAGGTGGTAAATGACACATATCCAATAAATAGATACATACTAGCTGCTTTGGAGGTACACAAGAGTTATCGAGACATACATCAGATTACAAGCGGGATAAGGAGTCTGACAGGTGGATGGGGTTCAGGCTATCAAACGGAAGAAGGGGTGATTCTGAACACCAAAGGCTAACATTACATTAAGCATCATTCTCACCCCAAATGTAATTTTCCAGCAGGGTGAAGGTTCTGACATTTTGACAGTGACATTTTGCTAGGGTCCTTTGAAGCAGAGACAACTTAGCATATTCTGTTATGATTATGCCAGTACCTTTCAAGTCCATTTGTCCACTTAGAACATTGTTGAATAAAAAAAAAATTAAATGATCACCCAGTACCATCTTCCTAAAAATATAGCTGGGATTTTGTTGCTGTCATTTTTAATATTTTTTATTCTTTGAAAATTTCAAATATGTATACAATGTATTTTGATCTTTTCCACCCATACTACTTACCAGTAGTTCTCCCTTGGACACACAAACCCATCCCCTTTCACACTTTATGTGCCTTTCCAAAATTATTCTTATTAATAGACCCCTAAGTCCAAGTTTTGTTTACATGTATTTAGAAACATCCATGTTTGGTGCACTCGATATCCTGGATCAGAACTTGAACTGCATTTCCTCAAAAGTTATTTTTGTTTTAATGCCAATTAACTACATGACATAGTAATGCACTCAGATTTCACACAGCATGTGACCTTCCTTTGTATAAACTTCATTACTACAGGAGAAGAGTCATAGAAGATATAAAGGCAAGGTATATAAAGGCATATTCCATTAAATCATGTACACACACACACACACACACACACACACACACACACGAGAGCAAATGAGAGAGAAAGAGGGAGAAAACACAAAATGGGTAAATGAGTAAGGAAGGGTGGATGGGCGTCAAGTTGGGAGAGTGAATATAATCAAGACACATTGTACGAAGCTGTCCAAGAGCTAATAAATAATTTAAAAGATGTGTCATTGTCAGTGAAGCTCAGTGATACAGAGCATGCTTAGTAAGAACATAGCATATAACTTTATTCCCCAGAGCTGTTCTGGGTTCCACTAATGAGAAAGGTATTTCCAACTCTAATCTTGTCTGCTCTAAGTTGCCACCTTTGTTTGTCCCAGAGACTCAGTTCCTTTCTATGCAATTCCCTATTCCCAGCATGCTTGCAAAGAATCCCAGCCTGGAATATGCTTCTCCCTCTCAGTTACCACTGATGAGTTTCCAAACTAGGCAGTCTTTTGCTTAGCAGGGGCAGAGACCTGGCAGTAGTATTCTTGCTGGGGAACTAGAGGCCCTGGCACCCCACTACCCAAAACTCCTCAGTCATGGTCTTTTATTGAACAATCATTTATGGGCAAAAGTAATATAAATTATTTTTACTATTCACTTTTGGTGCTGGAGATCAAACCTTGGTCTTAGTTTTTACTAAACATGCTCTCTATCACTGAGCTACATTGGAAATTATATTATGCATATTATATATACATACAATGTGTATAGGTGCTTTGCCTTCATGAATGTCTATGCAATATGAGTGTGTGTGGTGCCCAAGATTGCCAGAAGAGGGCGTCAGTGTAACTGGAGTTATACACTGTTGTGAGTCACTGTGTCGGTGCTGAGAGTTGAACTTGGGTCCTCCAGAAGAACAGTTAGCAATTTTAACTGCTAGATTGTCTCTACATCTCCCCATTTACTTTTTTAACCTACAAATACAAATTTGTAGTATCTAAATAGTCTTGGATATGTGGCCCTTCACTTGAGTGTAATTGACTTACCAGGGGCCACATTCTTAGAGAAACCTGACTCTCCTCCTCCCTAGAGATTGGCAGTTGCTCCATGCATATGGGTAGGAATTTAGCACACAATTCTCTTTTGCACACTGGCATTTTTGACTGTCTTTGACTTGCATATGAGGGCTTTTTGCATGCTGTCACAAACACTGTGCATTCATATGTGCCACTATCATTCTGTGACCAGAAGATAATGTTTCCTTGCAGTTGTCCAACATCTCTAGCCCTTTCATTCTATTTGTCCCCTCTTCTGCAACAATCCCTGAGCCTGAAAAGGAGTGGAACAGTATATATGTTCCTTTTCAAGCTAAGAATTCTGCAGTCTCACGTTTCCTTTGCCTTTCCCAGTTGTGAGTCTATATTAATTACCATTTACTTCAATTAGAAGATTCCCTAATGGGGGTGGACAGATGCTTTAGTCTATGGGTATAATGATGAGAGTTTTCTTATCTTGCTCTTGTATTCATATGTTTATTTTCAGATTTCTTCTGAGCAAGTTCAGATCAGCAACCAGAGGAGAAATCAGAACTCCAAAACCTGAAAGTGGGAGGAGCTATAGCTTGGACTTAGACAGTCAGACTCTTCAAAGTTTCAAGTCAGCCTCTGGATCAGACAGGTAAGCGACAAATTGAGCAATGGGCAGGCTGGGAATCAGATTGATAACCTTCTACCCACATAGGGAGTCTAAGTATCTGTAAAGGACCGGCACACAAAGAGTGCCTAAAATATAATACCAAAGACAAGAAGATGTTTTGCAGTTGTTATAGAAAGCCTTTCCTCTTGATTTACAGCTATTAGAAACATTTTTTTTTTGTCACGTGAAAGACTGCAGCCTTATGTTTGGGGAGTTGGGATTCTAAGTTCAAATAGAGGTGTACATGCAGATAATTCTTTCATTGATTTCTTGGTCTTTTTCTGTTTCAACTTCTAAAACAAAAACCTCTGAGTGTCATATCCATTCTTTGCAGCTTTCAAAAACTATTAATAATTTCATCATTTTGTGTTGCCCTGGGGAATTTTTTTTGCAATTCCATTTATTTCTTGTTTCACTGCCTCTAAGTGATTTCCAGACATGTCAAGTGAGAATCTATTGTGCATAGTGTCATCACTCATCAGGAGAAGCAAAGAGTAAAAGTGGATAGCCAAGAGCAGAGTCACTTCTCATAACATTTGATTGTCTAGCTTGTTTTGGCACATGTCAGGCCTTATTTTCATTACTACCAAAGCTAAAAGTAAGGAAAAATTATCTGCTCTCATGGTACATTGATTTATCCACATGCTAATTCCATTTTGGTTGCAATTGCAGTATTCTGCTAGTATTTCTATTCTTTTATGTTTAGGTTCTACAAGCAGAATTTCATTTTTCTTATAACACCTGGCCCTTTTTTTCTCATTGTGGTACTGAGCATGGAACACAGGATCTTGCATGTTGGAGTCTAGCATACAGACCAGAACTATATATGTGCCCAGAGAGAGGACATTGTTTTGATTATTAGCAATTTTATTAATGATATCTGTTCATATGGGTTTCATTTTTTCTCTAGCATTCCTCTACATATCACTTTTTATAAGACTGTAAAGAAAAAACATAAGAAGAAATAATTTATTATCTTCTCTCAGATGATCAGTGTTATATTTATAATTTTCATAATTTTCAGTAATATAGATATATTTTCTGTATGATTAAAGAATCCCTGTATGATTAAAATGGAAGCAAAGCATCCTTGCCCTTAAAATAGTTTTGCTTAGGAAACAACCTTCCTCAAGATCCAGTAATACCACTTTTGAGTATGTATCCAAAGGATGCTCAGTCGTACCACAAGGACATGTGCTCAACTATGTTCATAGCAGTATTGTTTGTCATAGCCAGAACCTGGAAACAACCTAAGTGCCCCTCGACTGAAGAATGGATAAGGGAAATGTGGTACATTTATACAACGGACTACTATACAGCAGAGAAAAAGAATGACATCTTGAAATTTTCAGGCAAATGGATGGAGTTAGAAAACATTACATTGATTGAGGTAACCTAGACCGAGAGAGACAATTGTCATATGTACTCAATCATAAGTGGTTTTAAACATAAAGCAAAGAAAACCAGCCTACAAATCACAATCCCAGAGAACCTAGACAACAATGAGGACCGTAAGAGAGACATACATGGTTCTAATCTACATGGGAAGTAGAAAATGACAATATCTTCTGAGTAAATTAAGAGCATGGAAGAGGGTTGAAGGGGAGGGGAGAGGCAGGGAGGTGAGCAGAGAAAAACATATAGCTCAATAAAATCAATAAAAAATAGTTTTGCTTCATTTCCTTCCCATTTATTTATTTATATCCCAATGACAGTTTCCCCTTTCTCTTCTCCTCACAGTACTCCTTACCTCCTCTCTGCATCCCCAGCTACTCCTCCTCCATTTCTATTTAGACCAAGCTACACAACTGTCACATATATGCAAAGAATCTAGGTCAGTCCCATGCAGACTCCCTGGCTGCTGGTTCAGTCTCTGTGATTTCCTATGAGCCCAGGTTAGTTGATTCTGTGAATTTGTTTGTAGTGTCCTTGACCACTCTGGCTTCTAAAATCTTTTCTTCCCCTTTTCTTCAGGATTCTCTATGTTCTGACTATGTTGATTGTGGGTCTATATCTGTTTCCTGTAGTCAGTGACTGCTTACTCATTTTCCAGCTACTCAGTCCCAAACAATCACACAGAAACTATATTAATTACAACACTGCTTGGCCAATGACTCAGACATATTTTTAGCTAATTCTTACATCTTAAATTAACCCATTTCTATTCATCTGTGTATTACCATGAAGCTGTGGCTTACCAGTAAAGGATCTGGCAGCATCTTTCTCTTTCAGCAGCTACATGGCATCTCTTTGACTCTGCCCTCTCTCTCTCTCTCTCTCTCTCTCTCTCTCTCTCTCTCTCTCT